GATATCACAACCCTTTCCCTTAATCCTCCCCTCCCCCATCCTCTGTCTCCTTTCTAGGGTTTCCAAGTGTTACTATGCTATTCCTGGGGTCCACCTTCTACCACTAGTAACTACCCCTCCAATTCAATCCTGTTCCTTCACCTGCCATCTTAAATTCCCTCCAACTCTTTCCCAGGAATTATCCAGTGAGGTGATATCATGAAGCTTTATTGCTCCTCTTCTGCCCTACTAACTCATCTCCTGATTCCTTCTTTTCTCTATTTCTTCTAATAGCTTGCTAAGACATTCACCTAAAAGGTACAGGGCTCTTTTCTAGGCTCCATCAGCTGCCAAAATTCCTAGTAACAGTTCTGCCAAGTAGTTGCTATTATACTCTAAGTACACAGACAACAAAGAATTGAATACTCATTAGAAAGGGAACTTGTTTTGTAGTGAGTTATGGAACACAGCCATAGTACTTCTCTCCTTCAGTCTCTGACTCACCAGCAAATTTTCTGTGCTTCAGTAAGATAAAGTAGAGATATCTATCATTCAGGATATTGTAAGATTTCATGATGGAAAATTATGTCTAGGGCATAAGTCTATTTTTGAGAAAAGCACTTAAGTCTTTTTTGATAGTTCATTTGTTTGGGACATAGGTCTGCTTAGAATTTTAAAGACACAGTTACTCTGACTGAGTTCTGAGATAGCAGTTGATCATTTAAAAAAAGAGAGGGAGAGAAGTGTGTGTGTGTGTGTGTGTGAGAGAGAGAGAGAGAGAGAGAGAGAGAGCGCTATTGAATATTGGAATGAATGGAGAACACAGAGAATGCTTCAATGATGTGTATAAAAAGCACCAAAGAACTTTTAAGTAAATTACTGGGGAATATGGATACCTAAACTATTCAATGGTTACGGGACAAATGTAATTTATTTAATATAGATAGATGATGAGAATTTGTCTACAAATGATAAACTATTATTAATTGCAGGTAGGACCTGAAGTCTGAACTCAGAAAGAAAAGAGAGAGGTTAAAGTACAATTTCAGAACTGTGTTAAGGAGAGAACATAACTCTCTCACTGAACTAGCCCTTTTTGTTGCTGCGAGGAGTAAGTTCAGCCAGCAGAAGCACAGAAATCACCCAACAGCTCAACTGGTTTGGTCGAGATGTTGTGTGTAATAAGGTGTTAATCAAGTACAATGTGAATCAAATTAACTTAGCCTTGGAAGCATGTGCTCAACACAGTGGCTGTGATTATCAAGGAACTTTCATGGAAGCTCCAAAGAATGAAAGAGGACAGTGAAGTTTAGAGTTGCAGAGATGGGAGTTACCATAAGCTCATGGGTTTTCCTCATTCATGACTTCCCTGTTAAGTTTTTGTCAGATTCCTTACTCTGTGATACTGAATGAACTGGGAGGAAAGTATGATCCAGGTATATGACTGGATTGTGATGCAATTATTTCTGCATTTTTAAAAATCTGTGAGTACTTACAATGTCGTTATTGCTTTGCCTTGTTGCTAAGTAAATGGTTATGGTTAAGATCTAAATGTGTTAACATTGTGAGTGGCTTATTTTGAGTAACTGGAAACACACTCATGGGAGCTTGAGAGCTAAAACTAGTAACCAGGAGAGTGTATTCTGCAACAACAGAGTTTCCCTTAGGATTCTGAGAAAGTCTGGGTGAAGTTTTGTGGTGGCAGTCCTTTTCTGGGAATCTAAACCAAGGAATATAAGGGGACAATGGAGAGAGCAAATGTCTACATATCCTGTGAGACAAGTGTGAGGTGCTATATAGTGGGTAGAAAAACACACTACATTTGTATGGAAACACTCATCAATAGGTTAAACATGAGCTAATGAACTATTTGGCCATAGCCACCAAACAAACAAACAAAAAGAAATGGCCCTCAGCCCTATCTTTCTGCAGGGCATAGTGGAAAAGTGGAATCAGTCACAAAATCTTTACATATCTATAATATTAACTTAAATGTAGGAATAGTGATAGGAACTGAATCTATGATTTCACTGGTCTAGGTAACTCCTGAGTGTGCAGACTCCTTCTACATGCAGTTTATTACAGCAACCTAAATCATCAGACAGCTTCCTAGAAGACTGAGTATTTAAGTAACTTGCTCAAGTTTCCAAAGTCAGTGTGACACAACTTGAGTTCTTCCTGGCTCCAAGGTCAGCTCTATCCACTATGTGTCAATACCCCTTCTTAAATTAAATGTAGGCACTCTAAATGTGAGGTCATTGTGAATTGACCAATGAATTGACATAACATTAAAACTGAACCACATCTATGTTGATATTCATGGTAAATGTAATAATAAGAAAAAAGAAAACTGCAACTAATGCGAGGTTGACTCAAAGGTTCTCCTTGAACAAGCATAGTAGTTGGAAAAGTTGATTGCAATGAGTAGTAAAAGTTAATGAGAAATATACTTTTATGAGCTTCTTGGCTGCCTCATCTGCACTATCCATGAGTATAAATAAAACAGGCCACAGTGTAGGTAAATGAAGCTCATAATGATATATACAATATATAGCACTTTAAGGTTTACAAGGACTTTAATAACATCATCTTATTTGATCCATACACCAATCCTGGAAGGGAGATGCTATTATTATTTCCATTTTAGAGATGAGGAAACTGAGTTAGAAAGAAATTAAGTGACTTGCTTAGGGTTATATAGCTAATTAAGTGTCTGAGGCCAGATTTGAAATGAGGTCTTTTAATTCAATGATTTCACTGTGATGGGGAATGGTGAAAACTACATTGTACATGAAAGCAGTCAAAGGGTATTCAGCAATTTCATGCCTATATACAATAAATATCTTCTTCCAGAAGAAAGTAGGAAGGTACTGGTCATCATTGAGTGTCTAGCCACATCATAAAAAAGTAATTGACTATGACTTTTTCTGAAATTCAATTTTATTTTACACGTTTTTAAGCTCTGGATCCTCTCTCCCTCTACCTTCCCATTTCCTACTCATTGGCAAGAAAAACAAACCTGTTAGAAGTATATATAGTCAAACATAACAAATTCCCACATTAGCCATATCTTAAAAAAAGAGAGAAAGGAAAAGAAAAAATATGCTTTAATTTTAATTCGTACTGTGAGTCCATCAGCTCTCTATGTGGAGGGGGGGATAAGCATGATCAGTATAAATCCTTTGGAATTATGGTTGGTAATTGACAAGGAATGACTCCCTGTTTACTGTATGGGAGTCATAGGAGGGGAACATGGCAGAATGTATAGCATATGGGACTTGGAATCAGCAAAACCTGGGTTAAAATCCCATCTGTGACACTTACTAGCTGTGTGATCATAAGGTTAATACTTCACCTGGTTGAGCTGACTTTCTTTCTCTCAGAAACAGGGATAACAACTATGGTTCCTGATTGTTTTGGAGCTCACACATAACGATGCATGTAAAGAACCTTGCAAACTTAAAGTCCCATGAAAATTATAAATAAAAAAAATATAAATAAAGTCCATATCATTATCATCAGGTTATTATTAGTGAGCTATCTGAGACAGTTAGTTTGCCTACTAGGTAGGAGAAAGAATAAAAGTGGGGCCACACTGTGAAGAACAATTGTAACAATGTTTGAATGACTAAGTAGTAGAGAGTTGACAATCAGGTTCAGTGAAAGGAATAATCCACCCTGATAAAATCATGGACCCCTGAAGTAAATACTGCATGACACATTATATTTATATAACATTTTCCTTCTAATAATCTTTGGTTAAAATAAAAAGGAAAAGTTAATAATAAAAGTGTTATTAACCTTTGTTTATTCTATTGAAAAAGATTTGCAGTAAGAAGAGCTACAATTTGAACACAGGCCCAGTGTCTTCTCCATTAAACCACAAGCATGAGCTTAATTTCTACCTACTCATGTCTTCTACAGACCAGAACAGAAACACATAAAGTTTTACATACATGGTAGAAGGAGGGAGGGGATGGGAACTGGGGGGTAAGTGGTCCATAACTGATCCTAAAGATTTACTTAATGTAACATTATGGTTTTCCTTAAGATAACTTGGGAGACATCTGGAAATATAATTCCTTTTCCTTATAGAGTCATAGATTGAGAGAAAGAAGGGATTGCAGAAACAATCTTGTTCAATTACCTTATTTTTTCCGTTGAAGAAACTGAGGCTCAGGAAGACTGAGATGCTTGTCCAAGGTCATTCAAGTAGTATCTGCCAAATGCAGGATTTGAACCCAGGGTCTCTGACTCCAGAACATGCTGCCTCACTAAAACCACTTGCAATTTTAAGTAACATGAATTTTTAAACTTTTGGCTCAAATATAATGGAAGTCTCATATTTCCTAGAGAAACCATATGTAGGGCATCTCAAAAAGTCTTAGTGAAGTTTTCAGCTATTAAAGTTTTAAAGTCCATTAAGACTTTTGGGACACCCTATATAATGATGACAGAACTACCTCACTGATGACAAGACAAGGATTTTGTAAATTCAATGTGCCTTACCCTCTAGTATATATTACCTTACTGAAACTGTATTAAATTCAATAAATGCTTTTTAAGACTTTGCAAAACTCATTGCCAAAAATTGGAAAGTAAGAAAATCATTAATTCATTTTGAAATTTATCAGAGGAATAAATTGAAATATTATGAACAGTAAAATAAAATGAAATAAGGAGTCATGGATTACAAATCATTTTTATAAAGTGCTTGATCTCATTTGGAAAAGCTGAATTTGATTAATTTAAATTATGTACCAACCTGCTTTGCTGTGTTCTAAACTGTATATAGCTTCAGAGAGTTACATTGGAGAAATGGTTTATTTCTTTTACAATGATTCTGCTAATGAAGGGATTAACATTTTCACATGAAATGAACACAACTATCACTAATATTGTTTAAAATACAAAAAAAAAGAGAAAATTATTTTATTTCCTCAAGCCCCACTGAAGGATTTTGTGATAAGTAGCTTTTAGACACTGCATAATCTTTGAGTGATATCACGTGGAAAAGTTACCTGCCCTAGTGACCTCCAGTCCAAGCTGGCACTACCAATGTAAATGTGCTGTTTATCAACGATCCAGAAGGATGACTGGAGTCGACCTTTGTTGTAAGCATTCATGTCAATGTATGTCACCTCCGCACCTAGGAGTTCAAAGAGATAATATTAACAATCTCTATTTTAAAGTTCAGTACTTATGATAAATCATCTAGTTAATCGAAACAAGCTACAGAATTCTCAAAGCTTTCCATCAAGCACAAAGAGTAAACAATGAAAGGAAGACATTTCAGTACATAGAAACAATGGTTATTACAGAATGAAAAGCCCCAGCACAGGAAGGGACCTCTGAGCTTATCAAGAACCTAGTCCTGAGCCTTGACCATAGCAACTATTCAATAAATATTTGGTAAATTAATTTGAATCAACTTATTTAAACTCTTCACTTTATGTATGATATAAGAGAGGCTAAAGAGAGGAGGCAGAAAGTCATCTTGGAAAGAACACTGGGGGAATCTAGAGGCAGTTAGGTGGTGCAGTAGATAGCATTCTGGGACTGAAGTCAAAAAGACCTGAGTTCAAATCTGGTTTCAGACACTAGCTGTATACCTTGGGCAAATTACTTAATCTCTTTTTGCCTCGGTTTCCTCATCTGTAAAATGGGGATAATAATAGCACCTACCTCCCAGGATTGTTGTGAGGGTCCAATAAGATGATAATTGTAAAATGTAGGCTCTATAAAAATGTTTAAAAAACCAAACTGAGTTCTAGACTCACCCATTAAAATCATGTAAGCTAATCAGTTCTTTCTATTATTGCACACTTTCTCTTCCCTTCTCTTATTGGGCGCTAGGCTTCTAAGTTCCCCCTTTTTTTTTGTACTAAGATTCCAAGATGCGTGTTTCCATAGAGTATTTGATATTTAATGATATCTTGTGCTGTTTTCTCACTTTTTTGGCATACTAAAATGCGTAACTGGCTCTTAAATTATTTCTACATCTAGTAATATAATGACAATGCTATGTGCTGCTGGAAAGTATCCTCTACGCTGATATTAATCAAATCACCATGTTTGTATCTATTACCCTGCAGTGTAATTGCACTGAGTATGTCTTGTGCACATTTGAGTCAGTTTAAGATATTTATTAAGGCTCTACCTTGTATAAGATACTTCATTAGGCACTGGGGATATAAAGATAAAAATGAAACTGTTCCTGTCCTCAAGAAGCTTATGGTGGGTGGGTGAGGGGGTGGATAACATGTGCATACTTAGGCAAATATAAGGTAGGAAGTTAAAGGCACTAGGAAAAGCTAAGATAAATAGCTTTAGGAAAAAATCGAGAAGGGATAAAGTATACAAATCTGGAGGTAATCAGAGAAAGCTTCATAAGGTTATGTAATGTGTCTGTATGTTGTAGATATTAACAATTTAGATTAACGGCACAATATTTGTATAGTGAGTCAAAGTAGACTGTATATTACAACTCATTATGCTAAGCTAAATCCCTAAATACAGCTTTTCAAATTGACTTTTGGGTCTAGCCACAGAGAAAACTCAAATTACCATAAAAAAATATAGAATAGAGGTGAGCTCTAAAATTCATTGGAAAAGTCATTATGCAGACTGAGGGATATGAGAGGAAAGGCTGGAAAAAAACCAAATGACCGAAAAGGAGTCAGAAGAAATAAGAGAAAGTGAAGATGGAAAACAGTAGAGGTAAATGCAGGGGTTCATGGAAGACTGCAATTATTTTTTAATGAAGTCTGAAGTTTATTGTATCCTGCTAAGATTGATCCCTTCATCTATTGTGAAGTATTTCTATGGAAATTCAGAGCAGAAAAAAAAAGAAATATTGTATACCTATAACTACTAGGCATATGTCAAAAAAAGAAAGTCTAAATGCTTGATTATCCACCTAGAAATCTTATTACTTACAAAGGACAGTTATTAATTTCATTGATCATTATTTACACTCAGTGTAGTTAACCTCCTTGCATCCATTTGGTGACACCTCTGCCTTGCCATTTCTCTCAGCATAGGACAAAGTACATTATTTAATTGAAAATTACATTTACAAATCATTTTTGGGATTTCTCTGTTGATTTTCTACATGAATAACCTTCATATTTCCTTGTGATATTTACAGTGTTAAAGGAAACAAAGCTGAAATCCTTAGTGTTAGCATTTCAGTCTTGAATATAAAATATCACAGTAATCATATTAAGTCTGCAATGTTAATTTATAAAAAATTTCATAGTGTTGACATAAAATTCTAATTAGCAAGTTTTGTTAAACAAAAATATGGGTTTGATCTTTTAGAGAGTGCCTTCAACAACAATATATTTAAATGGTTCTTTCACAGAACATCTTTGAAGGTTAGATATTTGTTTAATAAGCAAATATTTATTTTAACATTAATTTAAAAAGATTTATTTGAGAAATTTCACTTCTTCATTTTCTTGTTTTAAATGTCTTCCACAATTTAAATGAGGGAAAAAAAGTATAGTGCAGCATCTTGATCCATACAAATCACATGACCCTCTTGAGAGATTCTTTCTTACTTCCTTGATAGATGACACATATTGCAGCTGCTGTGGTCAAAACAACCATGTAATAGTCAATATCCATCAGAAAACTGGTAAGTTACAGGCACTGAAACTTATTTTTTGATCTGATCTGTCAGTTAATTGATAGATGTATTTTTCAATTGAGCCCTTTGACCATCAAGAAATATGAATTTGATATACCATATGATACATGGTGCTTGTGCTTACTTTTTGGTTCCCAAAATTTTATTAATGGTTTAGAAACTATTATTTTAACAGCCTTGTTATACACCAAAGAATCCCAAGGGAGCACGAAGTTTAGAAGAAAAATGTCAACATGGGCGGAATGGATTAAGCTGTTACTTAAAGATGAACAAGAATAGTCGCAGCTCTTGATAGTCAACACTAATAGAATCCTAGTGAAATAATTACAAAGTCTCAGAGTTGGAGGGGATTTCCGTGGCCATCTGGTCCAGTTACTCCCTGCATTACTACCAATTACTATCTCTGCATTATATCTGACAAATGGTCATCTAGCCTTTTCTTGAAGACCTTCAAAGAAAGGTCTAACATCCAAGAGGAACCCGCTATTTTGGGATACTTCTTACAGTAAGTTTTTACTTACATGAAGCTTAAATTGACCTCTCTTCATCTTCTACTAGTGTACCCCTTATTCAAGCTAAATATTTCCAATTCCTTCAACAAATTGATCAACAAGCATCTATTAAATAAATAATTAAATGTATTAAATTACTACTTGCTGGACTCTAGGAATGCAAAGACAAAAATGAAGGATTCCCTTTTCTTGAGGAGTTTATATGCTATTTGGGGTAGAAGAACATGTAGTCAGTCAACTAGCATTTATTAGGCACCTACTATTTGCCAGACATTGTGCTAAGTTATATAAATGTAAGAATTAAAAAATACAAAATAAATAACAGCTAATTTGGTGGAGAGGTACTAATAGCTGGATAGGTTAGGAAAAGCCTGATGTATGAAGTGGTACTTGAATCGAGCTTTGGGGGAAGCTAGGGATTCTAAGAGTCAGATGAGGATGAGGGACAGTCTGTGTCATGATTGCAGGGAGAAGGGAAATGGAATATCTTTTGTGAGGAACAGCAAGAAGGCCAGTTTGATTGGACCATAGACAATGTGAAAGGAAATAATTAGGACTAAACCTAAAATATTACTAATAAGAAAGGTAGGCTGGGACCAGGTTGTAAAGAACCTTTAAATGCCAACAGTGGGAAGCCACTGAACCTTCATGAGCAAATTAATGTCAGATTTGGACCTATGCTTTAGAAATATCATGTGGCAGCTTAATGGAGAATGGATTAGAGAGAAAAGAGACTAGAAGATGGGGACACTGACTTCCAGGATAGTAATGCAATAGTTCAGGGGAGATGTGATGAGGGCCTGAAATCCAACTTATCCTTTTACAGCATTGTCTTGAGGTCTTTTGCCATGCTGGTTGTCTTCATCTGTATTCTTTCTAGCTTGTCAATGTCCTTCCTAAAATGTGGTGCCCAGAAATGAACACAGTCCTCTTGATGAATTATGATCAAGGCAGTGTACACTAAAATTATCACCTCCCTAGTCTTGAACATGGGCAGCTAGGTGGTGCAGTGGATAATAGGCTGGGCCTGGAATCAGGAAGACCTGGGTTTAAATTCAGTCTCAGGAAGACTCACCTTCCCGAGTTCTAATCTGGTTTCAGATACTTATTAGTTGTGTGACTCTGGACAAGTCACTTAACCCTGACTGCCTCAGTTTCCTCATCTGTAAAATGAGCTAGAGAAGGAAATGAGAAACCACTCCATTATCTGCCAAGAAAATCGCAAATGGGGTCATGAAGAGTCAGATGCAACTAAAAATACTGAACAATAATAAATAAGAATTGATGAGCAGGATGGTCTTAGAACAATCTGGAAAGACTTATATGAACTGGTACAAAGTGAAGTTTACAGAACTGGGAGAACATTGCATATAGTAACAGCAATACTTTATGATGATCAATTGTGAATGACTTTTCTATTTTGATCAACAAAATAATCCAAGACAATTCCAAAGGACTTACGAAGAAAAACGATATCCACCTCCAGAAAGAGAACTGATGGAGTTTGAGCACAGATTGAAGCATAACGTTTTCACTTTCTTTATTGTTCTAGTTATTTATTTATTGCAATGTGGATAATCTGGAAATGTTTTACATGATTTCATACATATAATTGATATCACATTTCTTGACTTCTTAATGGGTGGCAGAGGGGCAGGAGGAGAAAAAGAATTCAGAACTCAAAATATTTTTAAAAGAATGTTAAAAATAAATGATAAATTTATCTTAAAAAGTTCTCTTATAAAAAGGTATATCTGAGGCATACACCAAAACTACAGATAATAACCATGTTTATTTTATTATCTTTGTATTCTCAGCAGTGTATTGATTACTGAGCAGAATCTGGAACTAGATACAGTTGAAGCCCAAATTAGCTGCTAAATTTATAGGAATAGTTAGATGTAAGATAACTACTCAGGGCATTTATATGAAATATAAGTTGGTAGAATTTACTTTCAAGTTATACCTATATTAAAATTCCAG